GACCGCGGCTGTTACGGCGCTGCTGCTGCTGCTGCTGCTGCTGCTCCTCTTCTTGTTGCTGCTCGCCGCCGTCGTCGTCGTCGTCTTCGTCGTCGCTGTCGTCGGAGGAGTGGCGTGCATAGCATGAGGAGCAACAGTATGAGGATGTGGAGGAGGAGGAGGAGTTGGCAGAGCTCGTGAAGTCGGATATCAAGTCTATCAAGAGCTACCTCTGCAGGGCGCCGAAACGCCGAGCCGTCCCGGAGGAACGCTGCCGTGAGTTCTGGCTGATGCTCTTGCAGCCAGAAGCGCGGACTGGGTCACCTCGCGATCCCGAACATGGACTCGGTTAACTTCTTTGCGCGATTGGGTCTCACCAAGATGCGTTATCACGAATGTGTTCTTTAGTATTGGCAGTGGTCCCGTGTAGCTGGACTACTGCAGAAAATACGCCAATGCCGAAAGGCCGCAGAGTCATTCATGTTTCGCCGAGGATAGGACATGTTTTTTTGCAACGCGCCTTCCAGTGGAGCCCACACTGGTCGAGCACGGGTTCCATCGTCACGCCGCCGCGAGGACGCCATTCTAGCACATAGTTAGTATTGTCACTTGGCGCCTGCGCCAGAGTGGGATATCACATTGTGCCTGCTTTAAAGATGTGCCGTGATGAAAGTTCGTGGATCTTGCAAAGGGTCGGTCGATGCGCGTCCGGCGTGCGAGCGCGGATGGTGCGCCGCCCCGTTAGGGACAGGGAGTTTGATACAATTTGAACGGGGGGGCGGCGGGAGGGGGGCAATCTGAGGGTTCGACTTTCAATTGGAACTTCCTCGAAAACAGGATTTGGAATTTGGTTCCAAACAGTGGGATGGCGGTTCCAAATCGCAGAGCCGCGTAGGACTTCCTCGACGAAATGGCCGTTTTCACGGTTCCAAAGCGGTTTCAAACAGTAGAATCGGTTCCAAATTGTTGGAACAACGAGCATTTGGAGTTCCTCGAAAACAGGATCCAACGGCTTTTCAACACATCATAGCCGTCGGCGCCGCGACGGCAAAAAACGCACAAACGCTATCACGCCCATGTAACGCCTCTGCTTCCTCGAAATGGCAGGATGTGGAGTCGGCGGTGGAGCGGGGGACGGCGGTGGAGGATAGAAAATTGTGTAAGCATCGTTTTCAGGTTAGTGTTGTAATATTGCAAGGCGAAGTTCGACCGATCACTTTGAAAGCTACCCAGGGAAGAACCATGGGATATTCATGTATTGTGACATGCTGGATTCATTGTTCCCGATGGCTTGTGATTGCCTGGAACTGTGCTTTCATCAACTTGGGGTCCCAGGCCAAGAAACTGACGGCCATTTGGGGATCCTGGACTGCCGAGGGTCGTTTAACCAAGTTTGCCGACGACAGTTGTAAAACTGTGCTTGCCTCGCCCAACTCAACTTTTGACACGAGATTCTCCAGTTGCTGAGGGCGTTGGACGACAGGCTGGATGCCTCGCTCTCCCCAGCTTATTTCGCTCAGACTTTAGCAACAGCATTTTTTTATCACTTCTGCCAACACCGGGACCGGTTTAAGCAGCAACTTCGGCAGACAAGCGATCAAGGATTGGAGGGGACCCCTAGAATTGTTGCAGGCATTTAGGACCTTATCTTAGGCAAAGAGAGAGTTGCCGTCACGAAATCGAGTATCGCATCAGAGTTGTGCGCGATTTTTTGTTCTCTGGGAGAAATCTGCAGCCTCTCTGGCAGTCTCTGCCGTGTACGCCGCTGTCTTCTGCAGATGTCTGTAGGCAATTTCCTCTAATCTGGTCTAGAGGGTTCACACATACGGAGGCGGCCTGGATGTTCTTGAATGCGTTTTAATGTTATTTTATTGTATGTCATGTTTAAAAGTTCTTTAGTGTTATTTTATGTAATGTTCTTTAATGTTATGTAATGTTCTTTTTGGCTGGACATTGCAAGGTGGCCATGCTTGGTGCAGCCGCCTCGCGGGGCGGGGCGCGTCCAGAACATATGATCACGGCTCGGTTGCTCCGTCATCGGAGGGCGAGAGTTGGTTGGAATATCGGTTTGGGCATCTTCATATGTACAAAAGTTTGGCAGCCGACCCCCCCGCGACACTTGCACGTTCGACGCGTGCTTTTCTGTTGACCCCTTGCGTGCTGTCAGTTCCCCCAGGTCCAAACGGTCGCCCCACTATTAACGCCTCCCCCTTCGCGCTGCAAGTAGCAAAGGATCTCCGATTCGTGGCAGAAGGATTCGGTCATAGTGTTCCCAGAGCTTTCCCATCTAAATTAGATTCGATTCGCGACGAGGAGGCCTGCGAAAAATTCGCCCGAGTTCCTTGGCGCGAAACCCGACAGCAACAACATTCGGCCTGTAACTCCCCTTGGCCCCCCCCAAGCTGACGGGGAGAGGGATTCTCGATGTTGGGCAGCGAAGGAGGGGACCCTTGTAGCCGCCACTTTCCCACCAAGATGGCCCGCCTCAATCCCCTCAATCACCTGCATTGCGCCGTTCGCGCAAGAAGCCGAGCCTCGGGTTAAACGCGCGCGAACGCTGATGTATGTTGCAAACAAGCTGTTTCTAGAAAAGAAACAGCCGATCGTCTCCTGCAGGGCTCCCCTGGCGAGGAAACACTGTTTCACGAAAGGCCCGTCTGCCCTGGCCCCTGAGCCCCCCCCTGGAAGTCTCGTCTGCCCCTGCGGCGTCTTTTCTGGCGCAAGAGTTACGCGATATCTGCGAGCACCTCAAGCAGCACCTTCCGCGGCAGATTTCTCTACGCCGCGCGTGCGACGCTGGTGAACGCAATGCCCGACGCCGCGATGAGCCCCCCGATTGGCACAGCCAGAATTCGAAGCGACAGGCCGTGATCGAGGATTCCCAGGCCCAGAAAAGGCGCCAAGCGGCCGCCCATGACGGCCAAAGGAGGGCGCCCCCCGGGCGGCGCCCCCCTGGCGGCGCCTCTGGCGCCACCTTCGGGGCGCTCCGCGCGCCAGGGAGGGGGCTCCAGCGCAGACCAAGAAATCCGCCCGGACCGCCGAAAGTTGGCGTTTATGCCGTTTTCATCTCCTCTCAAGCTCGCACTCGTCACCCGGATGGGTTGGGATCGGTGACCAACCCCTCCGAGCGACTTTCGGCAATGTGCCCTTGAGGATGTCAGACCCCGAGGTCAAGAGCACGACCCTGCGCGCAAACCTCTAGGGCACCTGTGGGGGCGCGAAGATAATCGCGCGTCGCGGTCTGGGTCAGAGCGAAACCACGGGTAGCTCCCGTGACAACCTTGCCTGAGACTATGCCATCGTCACAACAGCTGCCAACCCCAGAGGGAAAAGGCGCTACACTCAAGTAGCGGATGTGTACCGCCAGCAACAGTCTAGCAAGGCCTTTCAAGGTGGACCGGGAAAAAGAAAGCAAGGCAGCGACAGGCCATCCAACAAGCATCACAGCTAGCAGCTGCATTCTTCTCTCGCGGCTCTTTCCTGGCGCATGTCTGGAAGAAGGCGGAGCAAGGCAGCGACAGGCAGGCCAGCAATTATCACAACACCTAATTGCCCTCATCCTTCACACGCGGGGCGCTCCTGGCGCAACGCTCAGATGACGAGGCGCTTCTGGCTCCGCCTTTTTCGAGCTGCGTCTGGCCATCTGGCCTCAGATAACGTCGCGCCTCCATGGTGGTGCCGCCCCGAGAAGCACCCGCGAGGCACCACTCCCCCGGCGTGACCGCTCACACTGACGCGCGCCAGGGTGGGGAATCTTGACCGTGGGAAGAATGGGAAGGATACCCCGATGGGCCGCCCATTGGTGACCCGCCCACCCCACTCGCGCCAGGACGGGGTAGTACTCTGGCCGTGGGGAGAACGGGTGAACAGGCAAAGTGGCGACGAGATGCAAGAGTCCTTCCCCCGCCCGCCATTGCCGAACATCGCTGTTGCCCAGGAGGAGTAGGAGGAGGAGGACCAGCGTAAACCCAAGAGTCATCGACGATGTTGGAGTAAACCCTCCCTCCAAGCTCCCTCTTCATAGGCCCCTACAACGGTTCATGTCCATTAATGGAACGGCCTCGTTCAAAGACACCCGTTCGAAGACCCTGAAGCATGCCAAAACATTGTTCTCAGGATTCCAACGCCACGGATCAACCTGATTGCTGCGTCTTGATGATCCTGAATCGTGCCAGAACGCCATTCCTAGGGCTTCAGCACAGAGAACCAACGCAACTGTTGCACCCGCATAACCCTGAATCCTTACAATGCACAATTTCTGGTACCTTGATGCTGGGAATCAGTGAAACTCTTGCGAATGTTGTAAACGAATGTGCGCGGCGCTAAGGCGATAGCCACATTTTGAACAGGAGCCGCTTTCAATACGTGAAGCTCATGCAACGTTGTAAACGAATGTGCGCTGCGCTAAGGCGAGAGCCACATGTTGAAAACCACTCGCCCTCAATATGTAAAGCTCTTGCACATGTTTACAACGAATGTGCGCCGCGCTACGGCGAGAGCCGCATCTTAAAAACGACCCGCCTTCACTCCGTGAAGCTCTTGCAAATTTAAAAACGAGTTTGCGCCGCGTGAAGGCGAGAGCCACATTTTGAAAACCACCCGCCCTCAATCCATGAAGCTCTTGTAAATGTTTAAAGCGAATGAGCGTTGCGCTAAGGCGAGAGCCACATTTTGAAAACGGCACGCTCTCCATCTGCGAAATGGTTGCCAAGTTTTAAGCTTCAGAGTCATGGCCTCGGGGTGCGACAGGGAGAAGCGATGTATAAGGAAAAGGAATGGAGGAGGAGAAGGAGGAGGAGGAGGAAGGGTAGAAGTGGGAGGAGGAGGAGGAGGAGGATGTTGGGCATGGCCTGAAGCCAGGGCGACCCAGGGTCGAACAAAATCTGGCGCGTCCGAATCCGAGTCCTCCCCCAGGGGGGCCGAAAGACGAGTCAGCGCCTCCCCTCGAGCCACAACCCAGGGGAGGCCATAATCGGTCAAGCCGAGTTGGTCCAGGACCTGCTCCCGCAGGGGCGAGACTC